GGATCGCCCCAGGTTGCAACCGTCCCGTCCCGGCGGACCTGGCAGATGCATGGAAGCTGGCGGCCGATGTCTCGGCCGAGATTCGCAGCGTTACAGTGCTGCAGCTGGGCTGTCCTGTTTGGCGTGCCAACCCCGACCGAGAACCCCTGCCGCCAGGCAACAGCCACGAAGGCGTGCTCGTTGGAGGCCAAGTAACTCACATCACCTCACATCGAAACGCAACTGTGAAAACGCCTAAAAATTGCCGGAATTTGCTGGAACACACTGAAACACAACGACCAGCGTAATCAATTGGAACGGTTGAAACATCTTAAAAAACCGTGATGTTCTACAACAAGCTTGCGCACTGGGGCTTGGAAGCCACGGCGGCGTCTGCTGCTCTTAGCACGGAAAGCAAGGCACGCCGCGCCCCCGCGTGCTATCGGTCCGTTTAGTGATATGGTCTGTCTTCTTCTTTCTGACCGCAGTCTTGAGTGAAACACCCCTGCTTGCTTTGCTGAAGGCTTGAGACGCAGGCAGTCCCAACGCCCCCCCCCTTGTCAGCCCGATCCACCACGTAGGTGCGATGGGCTTGGCTGTACATGGCACCATGTGCCCGGAACTGGTCCTGCCGTCTCCTTGCAAACTTTGTCGTTAGTTAATACAATCCGAACAAGCCCGCGCCCAGCGCACAGCAATGCCAGTGACCTGCCATTCGACCCTGAACCTTGAGTCGAGTTGGTATCCCTCTGCTGCGCACCAAGCAGGCCTAAGAGTAGCTTTCTACAAGGGTGCTTCCTCACGGCAGGCTCCTGCCGGCAAGGTTGGGTCCCCGAGCCATTCACCTGCAGTTCCAACAATAGACACGAAAGGCTTTTGTTGCTTCGGGTTCCTTGTTACCACTGTTGGTGGTTGCAAGAACCGGGAATGTAAGCCAAATCGGTGTGTCCCGGTCTCCACTGTTTGAGAAGGCGGCTGCCGAGCAAACCATGTTCCTAACCAACGGCAGTGTCAATCTGATGCGACAATGGGCGCACGACTGAGGTTGTGACGACAATTATGGAAAATGCCTTCAGCTTCAATTTCTTGGGCAGGCTGGGTGCCCCTTCATGAACATGACCTGCCTTGGGTGCCTTTCTTCGGCTCGGCTCATCAAGAATCTGACTCGTGTCATGTCTCGGATACTGGTGCCCAGCTGTTTCACGGCTGGACATCGATGCTGCGAGCTTTGCACTCAAAACCTCCGAGCTTCTGTACATAGCATGCTCTTTTCACTCTTGTGTCTCTTGCTGCTGTTGCTTGAGCACCTGGAGTTGGTCCACCTTGAGCTGCGCGATCGTGAATTTGGTCTTTCTGCGTTCCTCGGCATGGTTGTCGCCCCTGCTGTTTCCGCGGCGCCGCGTGCAAACTGGCCCAATTTGGGCTTCGCGGCCGTGCCTTTGGTCTCGCCGTTTCCGTGGCGCAGTGAGTCTGAAGCTTGTCGCCCGTGTTGTCCTTGTTTTCGAGCTTGGGCTCCCAGGCGTTTGCTGTCTTCCACGTTCCGCTGCTGGGTCCTTTTCTTTGCGTTCCTTTCGTTCGCCTGGTCCTTGGCCTATGGGTCTTGGCGAGGTCCTCACCATCTTGTGCTCTTGGACATATCGTTCTTTAAGTGTTCGATTCTCCGGGAAATCGAGCCAACCTCCGAACAGAGGGGTCGATTTCAAGATTGGTGTTGGCACCTTCTTCGATGGTAGCTGAGAGCCAAACTCTGCAAGGCCCCAATGCAAAAGGTGCGATACTTGAGCCAAAATGACTCCACTCCAGGCTCTCTCTTAGGTCCTATAAAGATCCTCTCGGAATTCCGAACCATCGAGAGCAATCCAAGAGCCAATGTATCCCGAAAGAAAGATAGAGGCCGTCAAGTCCATCAGGCCCAGGAGCGCTGAAGCTGATCGTAGACGTAGCGGCTGTCACCTGCCGTCTTGGGCATTTCAGACTTTCAGAGACCCTTTCGATTCCTCACGCTGGTCCCTGACCTCCCGCCGCCGCATTGCCCCAGGTCACGACGTGGCCGTCGGCTTTCAGAGCTGCGAAGGCACTGCCAGTACTGCAGATCTGCACGACACCCTGACAGGGGTCAAAGATAACCTGTGCTCTGACAGTGGCGCACACCGAATCTCGCGCGCGCACTATGACATCACAAGTCACACGACGTGTTACAACTGTCTCGGTCTAGGGCCACATGATACCAAATCCGATCCTATGATACAGCATGAGAAGAACGGCTCATTGGGTCTCAGTACAAGTGCGGCGACTACGCGCTGCACCGTGGCTGAAAGCAACTCAGCCCCATCTTGTCGAAGTTATGTATGTCTCGGCTGTAGCAAAGCAATGGCCGTGCAGCCGAAGGTCACTATGAAGATGCTCGCGGACAGCAGCCGTGTCTGCGCCGTACGCTTGGTGCCCCCAGACCACGACACCTTATTGTGGACATCTTCATGGCACCTGCAAGGCCCTGTGGGGCAGCTCAATGCAGTTCTGGTGGCCTCCTCCACGTCGCAGGGCAGCAAAGGCACCGCGATTGCCCACAATGCGTGTCACCTCCACAAGCCTGATAGAGGCAAACTCACTCCCTGCCGTCTCAGTCCCAGGGTGACATCTGGTAACTCCCCGATGCTCGCCTGAACAAAGCAAGTGTACCTTCGAGCCAGGGAGCTGCGATTCCACTGCAGAGCAGTCACCGCCTGCAAGAGGATCTCCCCAAGTCAGGACACCTCGGTCACAAAGGAATCTGTGATGCCAAATGCCACAATCAGCACATGTCTGCCTTAACACCTCTTAAGCACTTGGTTCGAAGGCACGACCGTCGTGGAGCAACGCAGCAAAGGCTGTATCCGTGGACAGTATAGTTGCAACTTGACCTCGTCAACACAACTGAGACTGGGTGTTAAAGACACACGGATCTTGAGTTTTTTGCAAGTTTAAGCGTTTCTTTGTGGGTCAGTTCTGTAGCCCATCTGCCAGGCAACACTGGAAGAGATGTTGCACGAAGCGACTGTCGCCTCCGCCCTCCGGATCGCCCCAGGTCAAAATATCCCCATCCTCCGCTTCGTGGCTTTGGTGCAGGGGGGAACTCTGACATAACTTGAGCACTCAAGCACCCAGGCAGACACCGAAAGATCAGAAGCCCACAGCCTGACAGCTGATTCCTCCGAGGCTCGGGATTGATGTAGGCAAAGGCTCCTGCAGTTGAAGAAAAACTGTGCCCTCGCTGGTGCCACTGCTATGAAAACACCGAAAACCCTCCTTTGATGCCGACAGAGAGCAACTCTTGCCAAGACGAAGGGCGAGGCTGGTGCAGTGTGGAGGTCACTATGAGACTATGATCAAGCCAGATATCAAGGGACGACGCACATGCCAGGAAGTGTCACGTGCCGGGGCTGCAAGAACAAAGGTCCTCTGTTGGTGTATAGTCGCACTTCATCTGCCAGCTGAGCTGCCAGTATGTCCTGCGGATATGCAACCACAGCCGCACTTTCTTGCATGTCAGCGTGCTGCAGCTTGGGTGGAACACATGAAGTTATTGTGACGAGTTCATGGCCTGTCACTGCCGTGACCGGTAGAAGGTAGAAGGGCAAAACTGTGACTGTGAGTTTGTGTGCATTCTCTCGACTCTCTGTGGTCGCAGGTGGGCAAGAGTACTTGCAGCCAAGTAGCACCATCCTTCACGCCGGCCTCCGCTAAAGTCATGTGATCCAGAAGACAGCCGGTGTCAGAGATCAAGCTCGTCGCCACGACGCCTCGAAAGGCAAAAGCAGCTGAGATTTAGAGCCCGGCGAGCCCCTCAGAGCTGCGGCCCTGGCCCAAAGCCACCGCGGCTTCAGCTTTCGCTTCTGACCTGAGCTTAGCAGAGCTCAGCGCTGGCCTTTCAGCTTCTGTGCTTTGCACATGGGGTGTCAAGTGCTCCAAGCCCTCCTATCTTCAGACTGATCTTCTACCAGAAGCTTCATCCTGCTGCCTGGGTGCACTCTGGCATCGCACCGAATGGTAAGGTCAGCGCATTGGCCAGAAATCAGAACCTTGTTCAGGCGCACATGACACCTAAACACTTCCACTTCGACCTTTCCTGTACGTAGGCTTTTCAGCATTTCAAGCGGGCTGCGACTTGGAGATGTAGATGCTTCGTGTCCGACTTCCGCCGACGTTGCCCTGAAGGGCCACGAGCGACAGCCATCGGAAGCCATGGAGGTGGCGACGCTGAGCAGCAGCGCGGCTACAAGCACAAAGTTGGCCACTGCTGTGGCTTAAAGGGGCCCGAGTGTTCGCTGTGTTGCTTTGACCTGTCGGCACTTCTCACCCCATCATGCCGGAGCTCAGGGTGTATTAGGGTCGATGAAACGGCAATTGCTATTGAGCTCAGCTTCTGCATTCCATGCTGAAGCTACATGCCCAACAGGCGTCCTCAATGTCGTGCTGACTGCTGATGCCGCGGCATTAGGAACCCGATTCAAAGGCTGATGGCAACGGCCCAGTGGAGGATACGTCTGGCAAACCCAGATCGGGACGTGAAAGGCTCCTAGCAGCTTCCAGCATGACTTGGACAGAAGGCCCCGGCATTGTCTTGGCGCAATAATCCACCTTCCTGGACGTCTGGCGCCTGGCTTTTGAAACACAGCTCCACGGGTTTTATGTGGCAGTCATGTCGAGCAGAGAGTGCTGGCTAAGCTTGGGGCATCGAGCTGGTCAGTCAGCTGGGCCTCAGTCACTTATGGAATCTGAGACGCCTTATCAGCCGGTAGCAGGAGACTCGCGCACGCAGTGCACACTCACCCACCAGTCATGCAATCTGTCGCGGATGTAGTATACTTGCTGTTCACTGCCTGCACCTTTCCATGTGTGTTCATTTGGTGCAAAGAAGTGCCAGCAAGCCGAGCATCCTTGCCATCTGGACGTTTTCCCGTCGAGACACAACTTTGGCGCTCTCATTTAACCGAGACAGAAGCAGCAATGGGTATAGGAGCAGCCGAGGCGGACGGGGATCCTTAGGAAGCCCCCGCGTAGCCGCCAGGTTCATTGCTGGGCTTCTCAAGAAGCTCCTTGAAGCGTCTCACAGTTTCCATAGCCTGGGCTTATAGAGAACTCTAACCCTGAGTGCAAGCACTGTGCTTTCTCGAAGGATTTGGTGCATGATTTGGGCCCAGGAGCATGCGGCTGCACCATGTCGAAGAGCGCCTGACCTGAACTCGGGAGAGATAAATTGCCCTGACACACACACACACAATCCGCGGCTCTGCCACGAGCACAGCTCAAGTATAGTGTTAAGCCACTCCAAACAAAAATAAAAAACATTAGCTCAGGGAGCTGAACTGACCGAGGAAGGTCAAGTTGGTGGATTCGCCGCTCTCGCTAGCCGCCTCCATGATGTAGCCTCCAGGCTTCATGACTTGAAGAAGCGGTTTCGGAAAAGCCTAGCGGCCTGCTGTTGTTGATGCTCTACCAGCAGGTGTCATGTTGTAACATGGCAAACAATCTACAGCGGGTGTCATGTTGACTTAACATGGCAAACAATCGGATTATACTGTGCCAGTTGAGCAAGTGCACCTGATGGTAAGACTTCTGTCCGCTGAAGATCATCCCGGGGTGGAAAACGCTTGTCGGATCGCACGCTCCGCGAGCAGAGGATGAACACATTCTGGTCAGGCTTCTCCTGCACATAATGATTTCTGACACTGCTCAGCCCTCTGCCACCTGTGCTACAAGTGCATTGCAACGAAAGCCCTCCGGCGTCGCATCGTGGGCATCGCGTGTGATGGTGGCGGCATAGCTCGCACAGACAAGATTCAACGCGGCAGCCAGGCAACCCTGCAAAGAATTCGCTCCTCGTAAGCGCGCAAGACAAGGAGTTCCTGCTTCGGCCTCTTGGTGGGGCTCGTGTCATTGGGCGGTGGCGCCATGACCATCCGAACCTGGGCATTGCCTATCAAGATTGTCAACTACATCACCGTTCCTGTCAATTTTCTGAAGTTTCTCGTTTCAGCACTCACACCTCGGACAAGCCAGGCGAGGTTCCTGCTTCGGGCGACAGCACATTGTGTCGGGGCCTGGGGGAGCACAAGCGCAGGGGACATTCCACGCCAAGCGTGTCGTGCCAGGGTGTGGCAGCTTAAAGGGTCGGGAACACGTCTAGATTGGTATCTCTTGGCTCCTATGAGGTTTCATGTTCTGTTGGGGGAAGCTGAGGGCAGCGCGAGGTCTGCGGAGTTGCGACAACAAAGGATGACTTCAGCTTCGGTACAGTTGACGTCGAACTGCATCCTGGTGAGGGCTAAGAATCCTCCCTGCGCAAATATGGGTGCCAAAACTGCATGTGCTGACCGATCAACATGCAACTTCAATTTTGCAGTGCTTGACAGTCTTCCCCTGTGCAACTTAGATCCTTCGCTGGACAGCACAGGCCGCCATGGTGCTATGGCATGTCTTACCAGGATTGGCAAGAGCGCCTGCTGTTGGCATCCTTCAGCAGCCGGAAACAGTCCTGACTTCTTCCCCGCACACTCTAGTACATGCAGTCAGGGTGGGTGCATTTGTCAAAGCAGCAACCTTTCGATCAGACATGCGGCGGATGGTGATCTCTTGACAGTCGCCTGCGTCTCACACGAATGGCTTGTGTCTGGGATTGTTGTGAAATCGCAGGCCTTGACTTTCAGGCGCGAAACGGAGGTAGTGTTTCGCAATCCGAACTCCACCCAGGCTTCGACGCCTGTGGCTAGCGAATGCAAGGAGTTCGAAATCCAAAGCAGCATCAGGTCTAGATGAAAGAGCCTCGAATCCACGGGTGATTTTCACAAGCTAGGGTGACCGACGGCCAGACAAGATATAGGATTCTGCCTGGCGTGGTGGTGATGAGGCGCTCCCAGCGAAGCGTGGCGTTATCGTTCAGGCAGAGAATACACGAGAGGCACTGCACAGCCACCTCACAAATGCACAGCGGCGGAGCTGTAATGTATGACTGGTTCAAGCTATTCCGAGCGCAGGCCTGCTGCGCCTTCTCACTGTCCGGATCAAAGTCAACGCTGAACCTGCAGCCGCAGATGAGCCTCAACCTAGGACCGCAGAGATACACCACACCGGAAATCTCAGTCGAGGCACTTGTGGCACGATGACGTGCAGGAAGGTTGTGACCTGTCACTGTCCGGCTCCAAGATTGGCTCTCTCTTTCTCTCTGTTGTGCCATCCTCACGTCCGGTATTCTGGCCTGCCGTTAGGTTAAGTGCCCCTGCGTGCCCCAAATTGGGCTACACCGCATTATGGCAGGGACGCGCTTCGAGCAGCCCGGTTGGCCCCTTCTTAGTGACTCTTACCACAGCTAGGAATGGTGAAGTGAGACTTTCACATGCCACCGCTTTACCGCAGTCGGAAACTTTAGGAAACAAGCAAAGCAGACACAAGCATTGCAGATCCTTAGTCTATCTGGCTTGGAAATAGGCAGCCAAGTCAGGGCAATGTACTCTTGGCAAGAACGAACGAAAACACGAGGGACCAAGTCGATTTCTGAACCCGACCAGACCAGATACCTTATCCGGAAGGCTCAACGAGTCGGAGTTCGCAGCTAAATCATTGATTTTTCTCTCGCACGGAGGGTCATCCTACAGCTCTGCCATGAACTCGCTCTGATCCTCCGTTGTCCTTGGCCTCGCCGAGGAAAGCTCTTCCTCGGCTGTGCTGTGCAACTAGATCGCATCAGCTGGTAACAATTGTCATGATGTTTCCTCGCAGGTGTTCTTTTGCTCGCCACTCGCCACGCGCCCTATCGTCGATTGCCTCACTCCTGTCCTGGCAGAGACCGGATGATGTCGGAGTCACCTGGACATCACACTCTCAGAGTAAATTTGCGGGGAGCCAGCTGAACGCTCTGACAAACTCAAGACTCACACGATTCTGAACCCTCCCTGCCTGGATCTGTGATGGACAAGCAGCTCACCCGATAGTAACGTCCACAAGCCGTACCAAGCTCGTTGTTGTCGCCATGGAAATGATGGACGCCAGTTTTAGCCAGCATAGCCTCAGGCCGCGCTACGACCATGAAGGCTGCAGCATGCATGCCGGTTTGTGCGATGTTCAGTAAGGTCAGCCTAATTTGAGGCGAAAGAAAGTTTCTCGGACTCATTTCTCTCGAAGTTTCGGGAGTCGCTAAACTGAACAAGTCAAGGTGGCATAGTATTCAATCTCGCTCTTGCGCAGGGCCGGGCAGTTGTTGGAGATCCTGAGCTTCGGCTTGGGCCGCAACCAGGTCTCTCGACACAAAGAACCGGCGAGCGGCACGGCCGAACCACATGCATCGGCAGCCCGGCCCTACATGCTGGCGACCTCCCTCATGGTGCCAAGTACATGCGGCCAGGAAACAGCACCAGCTTCGACTTTCCTTGCCTCAGGGTCTTCAGCGTCGTTTTGTAGCCCAAGCTGTACCTGAATGACGAGAGACGAAACACTAACAACACCCTGCCACTCAGTCCAACAAACTGCCAGCCAATCGAAGAAACCGCCTCGGAAGTACTGCAGGCATCGAAATTCCTCACCCAGGCACTTCCCACTCTTCATCACCAACTGCAACCGGGCATTGATGGAGTCGGCGGACTTGGATGCCTTCGACTGCTTCTTGGTGCTCGACATGGCTACGAGGCTCGCGCGGATGTGAAACGCGCTGGCAAGCGAAGAACACGAGGTCCTTTTGGTCGAGCCGAAAGGGGCAATCCACGCCAAGTCGCACAGCATCCTACTGGGAGTGTACAGGGGCAACATAGTGAGTAGGTGTCCCTGCGCAAAAAAACGAATACATAAGTCGATACCGTAGATCGACAAGATGCTGCAAACGCCTTGAATGTGGCAATTTATGTGGGGCAGCCTCTCCACCGTTTCGCCAAGGCTCCGGATAGCGGAATGCAGTCTCGTGCCGCCAGTAGTCTAGCAGCATGCGTAGGAGGCGCGGCATATCAGGCTGAGGTATCCATCCTTTCAGGGACGACACCCAACCATCCAAAATCACCCAAACGAGCAGAAGGGAAATGGAGCTTCTATGAACGGCAAGAAAAATCTGCAGGATGACTCGGCAAAGGCACCAGTGAGCTCCTGGACCCGGCTAATATCTGCCATGACGATTCTCTCGTCATAGGCTCGGAGGCGCGAGACATCCATCTCTAAGCGCAGAGCAAACGGATCGCCTGATTGATTTTCTGGACTCCATGACGGGCTTAGCAGCACCAACTCATTGAGGAGCTGCTGCATGCTGTAGGAAACATTCGAGCCCAGGTTCACAACGGTGCTGCTGGGAGCGACTTCTGCCAGGCAAACGACCACAGGAGCTGAGTCGACGATATCAGTAATGTCGCGTCTAGTCGACAAGTCCCCGTGGCGTAGCACGGGTGGGGAGAGAAGGCCCCGCTCCACCATAGCGACCTGCCTTGCAAAATCATGCAACGCAAGGGCTTCCACACCGCGAGGTGCTAAATGGATGAAGAACCGCGGAACAATAACATGCAGGCCATGTGCACGAGAATATGACAAAGCAAGAAGTTCGCTGGCTGCTTTGCTGACCCCGTATGGTGACACTGGCTTCATGGCTGCCTCCTCAGGCACGGGGCCATCCCAGTCCTCTGTTGAGGCACCATACACGGTCGAAGAGCCTGCGATCACAATTCGTGAGCTCTTCATTTTCAGTTGACGTGCTGCCTCCAGTATGTGGAGCGTACTCATCATGTTCGTTGACAACGTCTCGGCTGGCTGGTCAAAAGACAAGCTGTTGAATGCTTGCGCTGCGAAGTGGAAGATGTAGTCCGGCTTCACTTGCTCCATTAGTCGTAAAACCCGCCAGGGGTCTGTAAGCTCAGCAGTTAAAATTTCAATCTTGGCTTGGAACGTTGCAAGATTTCGAATGTTGCTGCGTGGTCTCACCACGCCATATACTTTGTAGCCACGGCCCAGCAGCGCCTCGGCCACATGGCTTCCCAGCATCCCTGTGATTCCTGTAACCAGGGCCTTCTTGCCGTTTCCATGCAGAGTATGACAAGGAGACCAGGGTTCGAAGTGGGTTTTCCGCTCCTTTTCCTCTGCACTCGAGACGGTCCAAAGCAGCCAAAGCGCCCAATGTTTCCACCGTGCCATGCAGGCGACGCGGCTTTGCGCAGTCGTGAGGACTACCTCTGGCTCCTTCTAATTACAGCCTCTGAAGAAGCTACCGAAATCCCCTGTCCAAACGGTCTGATCCTGGCACCGGTGCACAAAACAATAAGGACATCGAGGCTCAAGTAACCAAGCAACAATCATTCGCAGAGCAGATCCGAGTGCTGGCCTCTTCCCGTCCATCCGCCGAAACTCACGGAAGTCTTGCCGGGCAATGGCTTTCCGGTACTCCTGGTCCTGCCGCCGCAGCAGGCCCATGCAGGGTTCACTTCACAGCAGACTTTGGAAGGCAGTCAAGTGGCCCATCAGCAGTGGCAACTTGCATATGGCGCCGTAGTGGTTCCAGGCAAAGCATGCGTTGGGATTGATGTCCTGCTCCATGGTCCCGGGAACCACGTCCGTGACGTGCCTCGTGAGCCTTAGAGACACCAGAGTTGCATTGCGCTTCTCAACGAGTCGGAATCAGAGGCTGCAAGGCAGCTAGGGGCAAGATTGCTCTGCTCCATGACTCCATGCTATTTCTGCACTCAGAAGTCGTGTATGGTTTGCCTGCAGAATGCAGTGGAGGTGCGGCTCATGATCTGCGCCACTCATCACAGCGAAATTCATGTAGCCCTCGTTCACCTACCAGTGCTTCTGCCCGGCATAAAGCCACAGCTATGAGAGCCACAACAGTCTGGCCTCCATGGGTACATCTTGATTGCTGGCCGAATTAGAAGTGACCCGGACTTTGACTTCGATGCTTGAGGGAAAGACTCGCGTCACCGAGGCCGTCACCAGCACCTGGGTTGGTTGTGACATGTGGAACTTGTCTCGGAAAGGCTTCCGGCAGAGACACTGTACGTTCCGAGAATTGTTGCTGGGAGACTCGGTCGCCAAGCCGGCTTGGTGCTTTGAAGTGCACCTGGGATCAGGTAATGGCGCTAAGCATCGCCTTTCACTGAGCCCGCTCTTCAGCCCAGCGACTGTATCCACGCTTACAGGCTGCAGGAACGCATCCTTCCAGCTAGGCACAGTCCAACATGGCCGGAAAAAAAGGCACAATCAGAGGCTTCACTGGCTGCTCTGCAGCAGCCCGATTGCTCTTAGTCTTCTCTGCAGCTTTGACAAGCTTTGACTATCCTGCCTTAAGCTGCTCCACTTGGATCCGATCCACACCTACTCGGCTCAGCTCTGCACGCGACACAGCTTTATGCCGACATGTCCGCACATGCTAGTACCGGGTAGAACTGCCAAAATAAGCCCCGGCCTCCAACGCCAAGAGGTGGGCGGCCATCATCAGCGCCATCTTTGGGCGCACAGGACATCCTCCCGTGCAGGCACTCATTCACGCGAAGGTCACCTTCTCACAAAGCAGCAGCTCGGCCTGAGGTGCAGCCAAACAGCGGTCTTCGCTCCCTTGACCTGCAGTCTTCTCTTCGCCCAGTGCAATTGAAATTGCACTGTCCAGGCCAGCTGCCATCCATGCCATGATCTGCCCGCCGAAGGTGTTGCCCATGTGGTTGGTATGCGTTGGCAATACCTGCATGCTCCGAACCATTGAATGTGCTTACAGAGTGCGACCGCGCTTCCTGTGGTGAGCAAACTTCACCGAAACCGCCAATGACGGCCCAGGAGCAAGCTCGGTGAAGGTCAGAGCTGAGCCTCTAACTCTACACAATGTCGGGAAAGCGTGGGGGGGTGGGGGGGGGGTGGGGGCCGACGAGTATTTACATGTCTCGCAAAACGTTGCAGGTTGAAGCATGTCTGCCTCTGCGCGTGCGTGTAGTTCTGTCGGTGTGCGTGTGCGCTTGCACATGCGTGCATGCATCCGTGCATACCGCACCACGTAGGGTCTATAGTGCCTCGGAACATCAACTTGCCTTCAAAATCTGCCGTGCACCCTCTGGATTTGTGCGTGCTACTATCGCCCGAAAAATTTAAACAGCAGCCCATGCACATTTCTGCCGAAGGTTCTGCCTCCGTGAAGTGGCGACAAGTTGACGGTGTGCTCGGCTTCCGCCTCCTTCGGTGCAAGCCCCATCTTTCGAAGGCGAGTCTGCCAGGGTTGCCCGTGCCTTTGGAAGTGTAAATTCAACCCGGTCTGGCCGAGATAACTCTCCGTCCCTTCATCCTGCTCATGGCTCCCTCGATGCAGTCAGTGACGGCAGCGCTGCTTTTCTGCAGCTTTGGGGAAAGGCACTCGTGAGCCTTGGGGCTAAAAGGTCGTAGTCGTTCTTTGGGCAGGTCACCGGTGGATGACGTGACTTCTTGCGGCACGTTGAACTAACTCAAGGCTGCTAACAGAAACATACATCTCTGAATCGAAAGATGTTCCGCTCCTTGGTCATCTCGGCGACGCGCTTCTCGCGGTTCTTCCGGAAGTTCCTGTCGCGGGCGCTGAGATATTTCATCTTGAGGTTCCACGGGCTTCCGCAAATCGGTCTGACTGCACATGATCCACCGGCCTACGCCGCTCCGCCAAGCTGTACTCCAGATGCTCCTACTACTCTGTTGCAACTCTGACGGACGGACGAGAGAGAAGTATCGTTTTTTTGCACGGCTGGGAGAAGCGCTTTCGTTCGAAATGCCGAGATCTGTAGTACACGAAGTCCTGCCACATATATCACGAAAAAGCGTCCATGCTCCGACGAGAAATCCTGAAAAGCTTCCTGGATTCCTTGAGTCTGCGAACTCCAAGCCAGCATTCCCAATCTGAAATCCGAGTCAGTTCTCCTCCGCCGTAATCGGAACCAGCTCCGGGACTTCGACCTTGGTGTTGCTGGCCTGGATGCGGTGACAAAGATGACCCTGCACACACGTCAGCCAGGACGCTCTAAACAAGCAGTCATATGTTGCAGTCTGCTAGCAAATGCTCATGATTCATGGTGGGTCCATGCGGTCGTTCCCCTTGCAGCCTCGGTGTGGCTCCTCCTAGTTAGAATCGACATGCAGTGAGCGAAGGGGGGGTGACATATATCTATTGACAGGCCGCCCATTGACTCCCATGCTCTGGCGCCTTCTCTTCGTCGGTCTTCAAGACTACGTACATGAAGTATGCGCTGCCAACCTGGATGCCCAGCGCATACGGCGCATGCGGTAGCAGCCGGATACAACTTGATCCTAGGCATGTTCAATGCAAAGATGTGCATGCAAGTGGCGAAACGCAGCGTACCTCAGTCAACAGCCAAAAAACATGTAACAAACAGGAGCGCAGAAGAAATAGCATTCAAACTTCGACATTCCTATTGGAAATGAAACACCTAGTCACCCAACGGCAACATTGTGTGGGATAAACTACAGCATGCTTGAAGGGCTAGGTTTGCGGCTGGCAGAGAAGTAGAAGTGGCCTCTTAAAGAACACACATGCTCTCACTCGTGATTGTTCAATCTTTGCATGTTTTGCTTTGGGCACTTTGCTGATCTGTGCTGCCTTGCCTTCAAAATCGTTGTGGTACCGAGGTGGGCACTCCTGGGGGCTGGCGCTCAAGGGGATACTCGATGTTCGTGGGCAATCTGCAGCATGCTCTGGGTAGACTCTCTAGTGATGCATTGCAGGAATGATATACAGTGCAATAAGGACCGGAGGGTGTGGAGCGGGGCCCACACATCAAACGATCCCCCACCATTGGTGGGGAACGAAAATCAGGAAGCAACCTTCACAATGACAGCAGCAAGCCCTAACGGCCCAACGCGTATCCTGCCATGGTCATAATCAAAGCAAAGGGCCTGAGTGCACGTGGGCCACAGAGATTCGGACGACCACCTTGCCAGATCTTGCCAGTGGGATTTCATCAGCAGGAAACCAAACTAAACCATCGTGATTCCAATAATCCAAAGATCATAATGTTTTGTAGGGGCAATAACTAGAATAGGATTCCATAGCAAACAGCAGTGCAGCTACGAAGGCCTCCATTGAGCTGCCGAAGGCCCGGGTCACCTGCCGGCGCAGGCGCTTGTGGGGGAGCACGGCCTGAAAAATGGAGGACCTAGCGCTGGCCGCAAAGCTTTGCGAACATGCGTTCAGGCCTTTCCCTCCAGGATGCAGCGCTCTCCTTCGAGGCAAAGCGAAGCGCACGCGCTTGCGGAGGGAGCTGTTGCAGAAGCTCCTCGCAGGAGAAGCTCAAATGCGGTGTCCGTGAAGTCCAAGTCGTCCATGACCTGTCGCTGTCATAGGCCGCGGTCTGTGCACCGCTTCGAGACTGGCAGACTTTTTGGCTCTTAGGTCACGGCCAAGGTCACGGCTGAGCGCCTGCAGTGCCCTGAGCGGATTCAGAAATGACATTGGAGATTTCCATTCTTAGTGGCTCCATGAGAGAGGCTCCATGGCTCCATGAGTCTCCGCTTGAATTGAGCACAGCGGCGTTCCGCTGCCAGGCAGCTCGCGGCATCCATCCACCTCGGCTCGGCCACTCTGCCACCACACCCGCCGTTCTTGGCGCAGCACATCTGTTGCAGGCATGCCCTTCGGGCTAATGTCTCATTGACTTCAAGCCGAACGACGGGACTCAAGGGATGGTGAACCACTCATTTCAGCACGCCCTTCCGCGCCAGCATGCAGTGAGGCGTGGCATGACGGTGTGCTGCTTCAGCGGCTTAATGCAGCTTACAAACCAACAAAAAGGGCACACGTAACCCACACAGACAAGCGGCCGGATTCTGAAACTAAGCCCCTCACGCGGACTCTTAACTACTCTGAGCGGCTCCAGCAAATATCCGAGGCTGAGGATGTTCTGCGAATCACACACAGCGCCATCAATCTCCTGCAGCTGCGGAATGTATCAGTGCAGCAGTGGATGCTCCCCGCACTTACTTAAAAGTCTTCACTGCTTGATTTGAGCTGGTTGGTCCTTCAGGAGCGTTACGACGCTGTCTACCGCTAACTGCTTGCGGCCTCAGTGATGACAGACGTTTGGAATGGCCTGCGGACCTCTAGTCGAACTTTGCCAAGACGCTTTCCGGCTTGGCCGTGTCCACAGCCTTCACTTTTTGGGATGATGCATTGCCCATGGCTCAGCTGCTCGAAGCCGAAGCGTTTGATCTTCTGCTTGTGGACTTGAGTCTGGTGCGCAGACATCTTCGCCGCGGGGTGATGGCTACAGCCGTGGTGCTAGATGACTACATGTTGCCATGGAGTGCAGCCAGAGAATGGCTCCACATGGTACCTGAATATAGATGGGCCTTATATGGATCATCATGCATAAAGACTCGCAATGGCTGCAGGCTTGAAGGCCTGAAAACGACCTGTGCATTCAACCCGGTCCGTGACATGCCAGGTGCGCAGAGCCCAGTGCAGCCCCGGCCCCGGTCTGGCTTGGGCATGGGCAGGGCCGGCTTCCATCATGTCCTGATCTCGTATTTACTTCATCTTCCCACTCCGTCTGCTGAGACTTTGCACAGGATATGTGCATCACCAAGTCAGGGGCCACGCGACGAGAGATGGTCATGTAGAACCCGAGCAACACCTGACGAAAGGAAGATGAAGATAGACAAGCAGACAGATAGCCAGCCGGACAGGCAGACAAACAGACCGACATGCACATCAGCGCAATAGTGTGAAGGGACACGGCTTCGCAATCTCGCCTGCTCGTCCAATCGGCCTAGGTAGTCCCGGATCTTTTCCCGGAATTCGGCCGCCTTAAAGAGAAGACGATCAAGAGGTGCTGTCTCCTTGCATCTTTCTCAGCGGCGGACATTTGCAGACTGGCACCATCGACCCACTACCTGCAGGGGTTTGGAGCAACTCCGAAGGCTGTACAATGGGATTCTGCGACTTGACCGGGTGAGTCAGGTGAGGGGACAAGATCTGCCACGCAGCTGGAGATCTAGCCTTCCGCGCTAGAACGGAGTTCGCCTTCTGCCCCAACATTGCCTCTGGCAGGCGAGAATTGAACCGGGGTCTGATCTCTTGTTCCATGAGATGCACGGATTGTCTGGCTTTCCATGGACCACTGCAGACACCACATACCGTCCGCAACATGCCACAGCCTGCAGCGTGGAATCGATGGCTGACCTCAGGCAAGTAATGAACAGCAGGTAACATGCCCTTTTGGCAAATTTCGGCAAGCTTCTGATAAGTGCCTTCGTCAAGAGGTTATGCAAAAGATTCCATGCGAGCGCCCGCAAGAAACTCCAAGACGCCAGCACGAGCTCGGCATTGCCGGTCAGCCGCGTCTCCCGCTGCAGTGCTGTCTCCTTGGTCTCTTTGGTCTGCGCCATGACCTGACAAAACCCACAGCAACGCTTGATCGGTGAAACGACGCCACGACTACACCGACACTTCCCGTTGTCATCGAAAGCCATCCGCTCTACTCAAGTCAACTTGTCAACGCATTCTTGTTCAAGGCCCCCGTTCAGCTCGAAACTGGCGGCTGCTGGTTGCCGAACGAAGGCACTGGCTTGGCTCTGCCGTTTCTGCGGTATCGCATGGGATGATATGACATGGAATGTCGCAGCAACTAAACTAGACTCGACATCGTTCAATGATAGCCAGAGGACAAGCAGACCCATGCTAGATTTTGCCTGCCTGCTCGCGAGGCGCAGCTTTTCGGCCAGGAGCCAAACCAACTACAAGCGCATGCCGGCAAATTCTTTACTTTACTTGTGCCTGACCTCTATCTCTGTAGCATAGTGATATGTGCAATGTAGGTTACGGCTCTCTCAGTATGTCCACGGGGGGTCGTGATCGTGTTCGTGCCGACGAAGGGAGACGGAGCTCATGCTGCTTCGGTTTGCCTGACCGACGCAGGGCCAAATATGTCCCTTTGTGCATATCTTGTGGCTAAATTGTCTAAATCAGCTTCAAAAACGCAGACATACTGAATCAAGTGTCCGACCCCTTGTTGGCCTTGTATGCTTGCACCATTCTTGCATCACTGACTGTTGGCTATCCGGCAAATAATCATCTAAGACTACGAAACTCAGCTGGAGCCAGAGGCAGCGCGAAGGTTCGGCCCAAATTGTGATGCATCAGCGTACTGCCGGCTCCGGCCGACACTCTTCCTTGCATTCTTTGCTCCTCTTCCGCGCGACGAAAGCTTGTGCCTACATTCCAATTAGCCTCTGCAAGACGGCCAGCCCGTCTGCGCGAGGCGAGATCGACGCTGGAGGCCCACGGCTCAAACGAAAGCGAGTACGTGCAGTGAAGCTTTCTGTTCTTGTGCCGCAGTCGCTAAGCCCTGGGTAGTTTCTGCCAGCAGTACGACGTGTGCATCTAAGCTAGATGAATTTCCCGCATGGGACGTACAGAGCACAGGCTGAATCGAAGTGAATCTCAAAAACTTCATGCAACTCATGCACTCATGCACTCCTGATCCCGTAATGATGCCTCAGGGGGGAGGGTTACCCTGCAGCTCAGCAGGAAAAGAAGATGCTAATGCCGGCCCCTGTACAGAATACGTTCTTTGCACTGATTCGGCTGCCCAAGTGGGAAACAGTCAATCAAACTGCAAGAGCTCAAGCAATAGCCGCTTGCACCATCAAATGCTTGCGGCTGCATCTACGAATCTGGCCTCCTTGTTCCCACAAGCACAGCAGCATTGCAAGCACTAGGCTGTCAAACACCAGCAAAAGTTCCGCTGGCTGCGATCTTCAGAGATCGGCCTTGAACGAGGTTGCCAACAATGTGTCTTCAGAGCCAAAACAGGCCAAATAGGCATGCCACAACCTGCTTTCTGAGGGAGGAACCCTACAAGCGGATGGGTTGCGCCGGAAGTGCCCCCATGTCAGGCCTGACTCAAAACATCTGCAGCTGGCAGCAAGACAACAATCCTCGGCCTGCCGGGCTGTCGTCGATGAGCCTGATTGAAAGGAGCATGCCTGATGGCAGGTCTGCAGGTGTAGCGAGGTCCGCCTCAAACAACGGCTTCATCTCGGCTCCCAGCAGGCGCGGGGGTGACTGGCGGCCCCATGTGGGCATCGCGGGCAGCGGCAGTGCGGCCTGCCGAGCATTCCGGCTGAACCTGTCCTTTCCTCAAGCCGGTATCAGCACTGCGTCCTGCGAGAAGGCGGTTTTCTTGCGCTCTTTTGTGCTGTCATGCAGCAGATGCTTGAGCAGGTTCAAGCGAGTCAGACCGGCCATGCTGCTCGGCGCATACATCGTCTGGGTCGGCACCGGACGCGCCTGCAACTCCCGGGCTCAATTCATGGCAACAGCAAAGGCCTTGGTGCCTTCCGCACATGTGCTACAGCACTTGCGCTTCATATACGGTAGGGCGGATTTACAAAGGCCTGCGTCAGCACTGCGGCACTTTGGACCGGTGCGGCTGGGCGAGCTGCCACCCTTATTTACCAGGCAATCTCATGGACTGCTGGGTCGTGTCAAAATAATAAGACTGCTGGCCTGTTGACGAAATGCCTCCTTCAATTGTGCTTTCAAACAGTATGGACCGTTGCTACCGGAGCTTCCCCTCTGCTCTTGTTGATGTGCCATCGTTGAGCAAGGATTCGACAAAGCCGCATCTAAGCGCGGGGCTGGGGGTGATAAACTCGAGGTCGCAGTGGGCTGCCCTGCACATGCCGGCTGCGTGAGCAAGATTCAGCATATCTCCTGTGCGAAGATACGCAGTGCGAGGCGCACCTGCTGGTATCCTCTTTGCTGCGGTGAGCGGCAGAACTCAGCTGAACTTATACAGTGCCACAGCGATCGGCGCAATACTGAGGCTTGCCTAACCGACTGGATTGCAATGTTGAGTGCGGGACTGTTGGATGCATAACCTGGCACGCGACTGAAGGAAAGAGCTGTTACTTCTTGACGAGAACCCACTGTAGCACTGTATAAGAACCTTAGCCCCCACAGCAGCCCGGATTGACAACGTTCCGGCGCCTCAAAAACAACCTTGGCGTACTCTACTTCGGCGTTCTGTTCGCACTTTGTGTTGGTCTCGCTGTGGCTTTGCTTGTTTTGAAACCCCTGGGGGCTGATGGAAGCTTGAGCTGATTGGATACGAGGCCGTCAGTTGGCCAGCTCGCGGCAACAGTCTCGATTTGTCCGATGAAAAAACGCTGTCTTTCTACAGCCACCACCTCGCATTTTGGCTGTCCATTTTCACGGATGAAGGTAGAGTTGCCATGTCCTTCACCACCGAACCGAAATCGGTGTTGACTCAAGGCGCGACTTCTCTCTCTCGGTAGATGCATCGGACGCGGGTGAAGGGGTGGCATGGTGCGGTGTGGTGGGGTGTGGTGTGAGGGACAATCTGGAAACACGATTCCTACGAAGCCATGACATGCTGGGAGCATCGGTTGGCCACCGATGCGTACTTGCTCGTGACATCATCATCGTTAAGCTGTACATGGTTCAATCTCGCTGCTGCAATCGCACGCTTGCCGCAATCCGTTTGGCTTTATTATATTTCGCGGTTCTTATGACCCACTTCGCAGGTGCTCCTTGGCCGCTATTTTTGTTTCTGGAGAGTGCTCATTGCATGTATCAGGAAGGTGTCCTACTGTCCTATTGAGAGCCCTCACGAGCTTGTGAGCCTTCTGACCCTCCGTTCACCAAGGACGTGGGTTCTTAGCACACGCAAAATGAAGCTCTCCTGCGAGTTGTGTGTGTGTGTGTGCGCCCCGTGCTGTGTGTTTCTGTGGGCCTCGCTCGATCACCTCACTCCACTCCATCGCCTGCAGCGACAGCCGCCGTACTGTACAGCGGTCATCTCATGGTTCGATCATCTCGCTCGATCGCCTTACTCGATCGCCTCACTCGATCCACTTTCAATCACCTAGCGTGGCCGCCTTTCACTTCATCGTCTCACTCTCTGAATCACCTCACTGGATCCCCTCACTCGAGCAACCCATTCCATCCACCCAGGCGATCAGCTCACTCGATCGCCTCACTCGCTCACCTCGCTCGAACGGGTACGGAGATTTGGGAGGCCCCACCCCACCGAAGCGATCGTGACCAGGGTTGCCTCGCTCTTTGCCCTGCCCAGGCTCGATTCCCGCCGGGTGCATCTTCCGAGTCGATGTTTTGGTGGGATTGAAAGGTATGACTTTTCTGGATCGCCCTC